GGGGGGGGGGGGGGGGGGGGGGGATCGTCATTTCTGCCATGTCCTGTGTCACGCGCGCACCTGGCAGCCCGCGAAGACGTTGGAGTGAGTTAGGACCAGAGCCAACGCGTCGCTCCGCAAATTGCTGGGCGCAGCAGAGAACGAAGAAGCGAAGGAAACAGAGAAAATGATTGATGGGAAACTTTTCGTGAGGAAGGCAGATGGGGGGAGAACAGACGACGGGCAGGTCAAGGTCGAGAGGAAGACAAGATGAAGAAACACCGATACACAATACGCAGACGGCGACACATATGAGAGAAACACACAACAAGGAGAAAAAAAAGAAGTCAAAAGCAGTAGTGTGGTGGTAGACGACCGAGAACAAAGCCCCACCCCAACCCCGAAAAAAGGAAACAGGAGCAGCAGCACCGTGACGTATACCCGACTTACCCAGCGTAGCACCGCCACAGGAACCCATGGTCAAAGGAGAAAAATGAGCAGCTACAGTACAGCACAGTACACAAACGGCATCGACCACCACCAACGTGAGAAAAAAGGTATTGTAGAAAAAACAACAACAGCCAACGCGCTTTTCTGGCTTGCTCTCTCTCGTTCGGGCCGCCCGACCCGGCCTCACCTAACTTTCTCGCGGTTCTTGGCGAAGTACGCGTCGCACATGGTACGGCCCGTGACCCGCACCACGCGAACGCGCGGCCGATACCTTATTTTTTTTCGCCCATAAAGAAGAAAACACAAACGAGCGGAGGAGGCAAGGACAGCGGGGGTGATCAGATGTGAACCGAACGAGAGAGCGAGGGCCGGCACCATCCTCATCAGACAAGGCCTTCCACGATACGGGGGTGGAGGTGGAGGGGGACATCTTCAGAGTAGTATTGGCGCACAAGACAACTCACGATCGCCGCCAAGTTGCCGGTCAACACAAGTATTAAATGGCTCGAACTTGCGTGTGTGTACGACGGCGACGTTTTCGTTTCTATTCTTCGAAACTGCCAACACTTGTTCGGTGCATGAAAACCGTGTACCCTTCGCCTGCGATCCCATGGGCACGCGCTCGCAGCAAACACACAACCCGTACATTTAGCCTTCAACACCTTCTCCGCCTGCTGTGTCCGACATCACATCATCCTTTCCCCCCAACACATGCATCTCAAAAATCAAGTTTCCTCCAGGCGTTTGGCTGTAGCTTGCATGGCAACCGCTGCTGTAATACTTCGTTAATAGTGAATGCCGCTCAACGCAGAGCTTTCGCTACCTACAGTGGTTGGTGTCAGCCGTCGTCGGGGGTAGGCGACGGGCGGTGGTTGAACTGGGGATGGAGGGGTTGAAAAACGCTCCAACAAAGAGCGTGCTTTGAATATCCCCGGCCATCCTCATGTGAACTGGACCATGGCCGGCCGTGTCTTCCTTTCGGCGTGCTCGCTCATACTCACTTCTGCTGCTTGCGCTTGAGCCATTTCGCTTGGCTGTACTGTGTCTTGTTGCCCCACGTGTCGCTGTTGTCCATCAGAGCCTGACCGTCATCGGAGAAAAGCAGCAGCAGGAGCAGCGGTAGCATAGACCGAAGTGCCGACAGCGGAATGTGTGTAGCGACAGCGGCCGTGGCAGTGACAACCAAGGGATGTGAGAAGCGGCCAAGCTTGAGACAAAAAGGGGGGGGGGCGCTTGCGCCAAGGCCGCCCCACAGGTTTCACAGCGGACAGCATCAACATGCGGTCGACACAGCAGACGACTGCCTGTGGCAGCAGGTGAGCCAGCCGCAGCACCAGCGACAGCAACAGCAGCGACAGCAACAGCAACAGAGCAGAAGAAGCAGCCGCGCGGCAGGCAAGGTGATGACGCCCAATGAAGGGCACGCTGATAGATCCAACTACACTCGAAGGTGAAAAGGACACAGGAACGCCCCGTACCCGGCAGAATCAAAAGCGCGCTTGAGGGCAAAAAGCATCAAACAACCCCCTTTTCATGGCGAACACGAACATAACTCGGAACACGCAGCAGTAGCATGTTCACAAACAACAACCACGCGTACATAAAACACCAACAAAAGCCACGGAGCAACAAACCTGAATGATCGCCCTCCCTCCCTTCCCCTCGTTCTTCATCTTGTGAATGTCTTCCTCGGTGAGCTTTTGAGCGGTGTTGGTGTCCGTGAACCCTCGATTGTCCTGTGGGCGAACATCCGACGCCAGCGCCGCCGCGGTGACCTCTTCCACTACCCCTGAGAGGCCACCCCAAGAAGTCCGGAAGGGTTGTTGGGTTGTTTGTACCCAAAGGTGGTTTTGCGATTGCGACGAACGGTGTCATGGGGGGAGGGACAGAAAACGGAAACACTCGGGTTTTGAAGAAAGTTGTCGTAGAGGGGGGGTTAGGGCAGGGGAAGGGGGGGGGGGGGTACTCTTGTGTC